CAGGGGCCATGTTTAATCTCCATTAGCCCTGTAGTCTCCCTTGGCCATCCACCTTCTTTTTTCATTCCTTAAACAACAATAACAAACAAAGGTTTATGAAAGAAGAGATTTCACCATAATTCCACAATGCACGCAGTACACTTCAGAATTTCCCCCATTACATTTCTTATCATGCTTCCACACAGCTCTTTCCTTGTTCCACACCCTAATAATCCTTTTCCTTTCATGCCCTCTGCCCCAGGGCCAATTCCACCTGTGGTATATGCTTTTTGTGAGCATGGCTTATATGCTTAGCAGGGTGATCTCTAGCTCTATCCATTTCCCTACAGAGAACGCAATCTCATTCTTTCTGGCTATGACTCCCTGTGTGTACAGCCCACATCTCCTTTATCTGTTCATCTGTTGGTGGTACCCAGGCTGACTAGATGACGTGGCTATTACAAATAGTCTCGTAATAGACTCGAGCATGCAATTATCTCCTTAGTAAGCTGACTTTGATTGTTGGGGGTAGATAGCCAAAAGTGGTATAGCTGGATCGTAGTTTTTCTGATGAACATCCACATTGATTTCCAAATCGGATGGACTATATTCACCCCAACAGTATGTAAGACAGCCTTTTGCCTGTGTCTTTACTAACATTTGTTGAGTTTTGCTTTCTTGATGGCAGTCATTCTGATACAATATTTTTTTTTGTTTCCATGATCATGGATGATATTGAGCATGTTTAATGTATTTAATGGTCATATGCATTTCTCCATTTAAAAATTGTTCAGTTAGGCCAGGCGTTGGTGGCGCACGCCTTTAATTCCAGCACTGGGGAGGCAGAGGCAGGCAGATCTCTGAGTTCGAGGCCAACTTGGTCTCCAGAGCAAATGCCAGGATAGGCTCCAAAGCTACACAGAGAAACCCTGTCTTGAAAAAAAAAACGTTCAGTTAATTAGCCAACTCCTTTTTTTCCCAGTTGCCCATTTCTCTATGTTTTCCTGCATATCTATGTCTCTGCAAATGATGCCTCCCCTGCTAGACATGGCCTGCCATGAGCAATAGTTTGCTTCTCATAGTTTGCCCTTCAGGTCCAACATGCCTGCCTGGAACTCTGTGCTTATATATACAGAATAAGTTTTTCTTGCCTAGGTTATCATTTTCATGATGGTTTTCTAGCTGGCCCATGAGCCCAGAAGTCAAAATTCTGTATTACTAATGTTTTTATCCACTCGGTGCAGTATGTAGTAGAAACTCAATTCCCTCGTTAAAAGAACAGGTGATTAAATGAATGACCAATAATAGAGGATGACACTACTCGGTTTGTAAACAGTGTTCAGTGATCGTGGAATGAAAGGAAAGAGGCATCATGTCCTGTGGTCACCTGTTGACAATTCTTTCTAATAAGGAAGAACACTGACACACGCAAAGTGCTGTTGAGTGATGGGATCCTTAGGGATTAAGTAGAACCGTTCAGAGAAAGAGGTGAAGTAGTGCCTAGTTACCTCACTGGGGACTGGTTTTTTCCATCCACTTTAATCGTCTCTAGCACTTAAAACTTCTCCTGTCTTCTTCCTTATGCTTTCATGGATGCTTAAGCATTTCCTGTTAAAAAATAAAACAATCAAGAACCCTCTCTTTTCTTTTAAAAGGAAGACTATCCCCAAGTCTGCCATGGTTCTATCAGGTCCATGATCGACACATGGAGTATTTGGTCTTCTCAAGGTATTGTCAGCATAGTTTATGAAATGCTTGCAAGCAGGGCAGAGAAGCTACATTAAAAATGATTGGATAGTTAGGCTTAAAGAACACTGGCTATATTGGTGACTGTCTTCCACATTCTCATCTTCTATCAGGCTTCCACTGTGTTTGATGGTCTAGCTAGACCAGCCTCTTTGCTGCTTCTGCTATGTGCTGAACTCCCTCCCCATCAGGCCCTTTACATGAAACCATGGTGTTTGCTTGGAAGCTCCATCACTCCCATCCTTATACAACTAATTCCACTTATCTCTCATTTCACATTAATTTTCCTTCCCTAGCAAGTTCAGAATCCAACATTGCCATGCTTAGGGCCTTAAGGATGCCTATTTCTAGTGTCCATCATGGCCACACTTTCATTTCTGGATTATTTTTATCCATCTCTAGACTATAAGTTCCATATTTGATTTTTCTCTTACAGATGTATTCTTAACTTCTACATGGTCCCTGGCTTTAATGAACAAAGGAATGAACAAAAGATCTGAAGTACAACTTCAGTGAACACAAAGTTCAGAAGGCTGTGAAAGGAAGCCATGGTTCAGACATTGGCAGGAAAGCCAATAAGGTAAGGGACTTGGTACACAGTCAAAATGAACTTGTAGTGACTGCTTTGGGTCATGGTCACATACACTGGTGTAGAGTCAAAATGAACTTGTAGTGACTACTTTGGGCTATAGTCACATACATTGATGTTAGCTTCAGGCCAGTCTCATACTGCCTGGATTGGTACTTCTCTGGTAGTTGAGAGAAACAATCAATGTATTAGATTACCAGATCAAGATTCAGAAAGACAGCAGGCCAGTGACTACCCATGTTGTTGAATACCCTTTATTTATCCTAGGTTCTAACCTGTGGAGAGACCCCAGAGGTTCCTCCTCTCCTTCAGGATAACCAGAAGAGAAAGAAGTTGTCTTGATGTGGGGAAGAAGCAAAGAAATGAAAACTGGGGCTGGGCATTTTTCCCTACCCCTCAATTTGAACAGTGCCTTTTATTTCATTTCTGCTTCTTCCCTACTGATTTGGCCATCAGGTGGGTTTGTCTGGATGAGTTCCTAAAAGTTCTACTAAACTGTTCTCCTCCAGGGTTGCCACTGTAAGGTTTGGTAGCTTATACTTTACTTTGGATTAAGAACAGAGCTTTTGCTTTGCACTTTCTTAGTGTCCTCATTCTTAAAGCTTGCATCGTGGTGGGGGAAGCACTTAGTAGAAAATACAGCAATCTGCCAGCACTGTGCTAGACTCTGGAATATTACAGTGAGTCAGATAGATTTCCTGGCCACACAGATCTTCTATCTCACTATTTAGTAAGCCAGATGACTTTGTTAAGGTCAAACAATCATGGAAAAAAATGCAAGATGGAAGAGTCCTGGCTATAATAGTAAGAACGAAAAACAAAATCAAGGGCATTATAATATACCATAAACTCAAAGGTGGAAATCTAGTGTGATGTTGCAACTTGGAAAGTCTGTGTATTATCAGTCTGTGTTGATGGAAATAGGTATGCTATGTGGTTCAAATGAGTTAATAGTCCTGTTGTAGTGCAGCTAGAGTATTGTGTTTCCTTCTGGACACAACATTTACCACATTTTAAAGGAACAAATTAGAGTTTGCCCAGAGAGGGCTGGTCAGGATAACAAACCGTCTGGAAACCATCATACAGGAGACTGAAGGACCTGTTTAGTCTAGGAAATAAAGACTTATATGGGAGACGTATAGCTATTTTCAAAGATATGTTATATTGACAAGAGCATAAGTCAACTCCTGCATTGTCCAAAGAGTACTCCTGGGACAGCAGTGAATGAATGGGTAGAGAGGTTGGAGAGGATCTTTAGTTCAAGGTGATCTGAAGCTCACTTGATACAAGCTGTCCAACAGTGGACCAGGAATGGTCCTTTTGCTCAGCACTTCATATTTTTTCATCCCTTTTGCCTCCCTTCCTAGGGGCAAGAACTTTGAAGAGTTCTATTTCTTCTCTAATGACCTCATACCTCTGCCCCTTCCATGCCACTGCACTACAAGAAAACTGTTGAGTCACCTCCTATGTAAGTGACAGGTAATATTGACAACTAGCACTAGGATGAACACTTTACAGAACTGACACTTAAACTGTTAATCAAAGGATCTCCGATATGACAGGTGAAGAAACAAAACTTAGACAACCAAGCAGAGGCCTCTGGACTGGTCTACTGGAGTTCTGCTTCTATACTCTATTGTCCTGACCTTCCTGACTCATTTGTTCCATCGTCACTAAAATACATACACATCCATCAAGAAAAAAAATAAGCAGCATTTGGATTGGTAGTCTGAAGGAGTAGGGTATTTTTCTAGTAAATGAGGGAGGAAGAAGTCAGCATGAGGGTTATTGGGTATGTTGAGCAGAGGGGTTAAGTGTGTCCCTAGAACGTGGCACCACTTGTCATGGTGCACAGTGAACTATGCAGTGTCTTTATGAAAAGAAAGCAATTCCCAGATTCATCCCACAGTTCCTATTATGGTAAGTCATTTTGTTGTTGTTTTTAACTTTCTTATTTCTCTGGGTTCTGGTTATTCCGTTTTAAACACATCTTTATTGCTTCAAGTAGGACTAAGCCTTACACAATGATAAAAGTAACTGAAAAACTTATTCCACTTGAAAAAAAAAGGAAAAACACTTTTGTGACTCACCCAATATAAACCACAACCCAATAAAGCCACGATTAAAGTGGATGTCTACTAAATCTCTCAATGAATGGGGTTTCACTTTCTGTTTTCACGAGTCATCCAAGTCCTTTGATGTATGTTGGGCCCTCTTGCTCAAGGCTGTCTGTTCTTTCATCACTCTTTCCTTCCATGAATCTCATGCCTGCGATTGCTCAGCACAATCCTGGCTAACAAGACATGGAGGGAAGGCTTCCTGGAACACGTGGAGCAAAGTCAGGAAGATGACCCAAGTGAAGGTAAGCCCAGAAGAAGATTAGCGGCAAGCTCATGGCTTTTCCAGCTGGCCTGCTTGTCTGTGCTGACTCCAAGACTGCTGGTGTAAGTGACTGGGAGGGACTTTTACCCACATTTTTGTCCTCTGGCTCTTGCTCTGGGTAGAACCACTTTGTAAAATTTAAAACAACAGCAGCAACGGCAGTGAAACTCCAGTCTCTGAAACAACACATTTTCCCAGAAATGTATATTTACCTGAGGCTTACAGTCCATGGCACCATTTACCTGCATGTAAACCACAGAGATTCTGGATGATTTTAATGCACGACTTCTGGCACACATAGGCGTGTTTATGTTGATTCTAATGTTATGAGAAACTATTAATGCCGAGTACTCACTGACCATCTGGTCTGATAAACTTTGGGTGGTTTGAATTCTTTGCAGTATTTTTTTTTTTCAGCAAATCTCCTCTTAGGGTAGTCATAAGGCTCATTTTTATTGTGTCCATGATCTCTTACCCAAAATAGTGATATTTTTATGTACTGGATCAAAGAAAGATTGTGATTATAGCAGGGACTATTATGAAACCAGAAAGGAGCCAACTAAAGAGAAAAGGGTTATTTTTAAATGTCATTCTTCAAATATGACTGACTGTAAATAAACTGTATATTGCCCTTTGAGGGAAGAGCCTGAAGTGGAAACACCACATATGGCCATCAGGAGGCCTGGTGTGGGGCTTCTGAAAGTTCCAAGTGACTCTAGATATGGCCTGGCTATGGAATTCTTCTGCTTACAGCTTCAGAGGACAGGCTTTTTCAGAGCACTGGAAACTACTTGTTTCACAGATGGAAATGTGGCTTTTTTCATTTTTACCACTATTACTGATGTCTGTAGAAAAAGTTACATAAACTTTCCCGGGCTCAGGGCAAACAATCCCTCTGGGAAGCTGTAGGATGGATGGTTCAACAGTGATCTGGAAAGGGTGACATCTCATCACCCATTATCTCCAAGATAAACTGAAGAGAGGGACTTGTTCAGAATCGTGTGAAGATAGAGAGCCCGCACCATGTTTCCACGGTGACATTCTGTTTGTGGCCAAGTCTTTTGTTCCCTTCAAGTACACCGTGTTTGGTGCTATGCAGCAGGTTGTTTCTTCCGACCCACGCTGTTCCCTACAGCCTGCTTCTACCTCCAGTTTCTCTTTGTCATGAGTTCCTACTTTGGGGAAAGTTGGTTGTCACTCTTACCACTACATTCTTCCTGGTATAGTATTGGTCAGACAGGCCCCTTTCTGATTGCTATCTTTCCAGGAAGGACAACAGAGCTGACCTTGGAGGACATGGGCCAGGAGATCTAAGATGAGATTCCCAGGACTGCTACCTAGGTCCAACTTAGACTCTGAGAACCAAGGAAAATGAACCTCACCCAAGTTCCTAGGTGGCAACTGAGGACCAGCCCACTGGGAGGCCAGCTGGGGTCCCAAGCCTGGTTATTCAAAGTATGGGCTCTAGAACAACAGCCCTGGCATCATCTGGAGTGTTTAGGATGTAGAAGCTCAACTCCCAGTCCCCACTTAACACATTAGACCTCTGGGTGCTTTTGGCGAGCATAAAATCTTGAGAAGTACATCTCAGAGAACCCGAGGCAAGGTCAAGGATCAGTCAGGGTTGGTTGAGGGACTGAACCTCAGTAGGGTTGGGAGTGAGAGCAGGTCAGAAGGGAGAGAAATACTTGAAGCTGTCTCCACGAGCTGTGGGTATATGGTTATGTGGTATGCAGGTATATCTAGACTCTAAAAGGGGTTTGAATTCTCCAGTCAGCCTTCTCTGAGACTGTAAAAGACAGGGGCCCATCTTCCTCCTTCATCTGTTCCAGACCTACCCAGACATCTCAGAGCTCCAAGATATGTACTCATTCTTTGTTGAACTGAATGGGGTCCCCCAGAAATCCCACTAGTCATATATCCTGAGTTTATGATCATAGAGAGTCACCTTTGATTCTGCATCTCCCCCAGGAATCTCTTGGTGTAATAAGTATGCTTGGGTGTTTTCTGTAGCACAAATCAAAGCAAAACAAAATACCCTGCTGGGTCACAGCAGATCCAGCACCACATCCCCCGAGAGTTCAGGCGGTGTCCAAAGAACTCATCATGAGAGCTGACCTGCTAATGTGTGATTTCTGCAAAAGGGCCAACGAACCTGCTGGCTCCCATGACGGCTGTCTGGAAAGTCAGTGCCCAGGCGCCAAATCCAGAGGTGCGCTTTGTACTTGGAGAGACAGAATGGCCAGCCACCTCGAGGCTTCAGGAGCTGGATCAGTGCACAGCAGCCTCCAACTGGCAAGAGTTAATGCTAAGGTGCAGCTGCAGGAATGTGAAGCTGGAGAGCTAGCTCGGGGAATTGCTATTGCAATCAGAGGACAGCCCAAGTCAGAGTTCCAAAACCCTTTGAAGGGCTGCCAGCTCGGACACATGTCTCCAATTATCATATGCAATCTTGAGGCAGTGTGCAAGCTGCACTTTCATTATGTCAAAGTGAAAGGAGTGGTGAGGGAGAGATAAAGTGGGGAGAGGCCGCCAGGCCGGAGACTGCTTCGCTGTGGCACCAAATGTCAGCCCGGGTGCAGAGTGAGCCTCCAACGTATGTCTGTCCGGGAGCCCGAGGTGTGTGGCTCCTACTCTGAGAGCCTTTGTTTTCTTTCTTTCATTCTGAGGATGGAGGAGAACCAGCTGACAGCCACAGGAGGCCCTGTCTCTAGGAAACTTGACCATCTCTTTGGTATTGGATCTGACCACAGATAAGATTCTGTGGAAACTTCCCAGGGACATCCACTGTGTCCAGCCACAGGCTTTCAGGTTATTTCTTAAAATTTTTCAAGGTCTGTATTTCCATGGGGAGCCGGTTCCTTTGCCTGGTGTAACTAAGAAGGAGGCATAAGAATAGATAGCTCCTTCTTGCCTATCCAGGGTTGGCTGTTTCTAGGCTGGGTTTTGCTTTTTTTTTTTTTCATTCTGAACCAAGTCCTAGCCCAGGAGACCATTGCCCTCAACTTCATTTTCCAAACACAGACCAATAGATTTTCCTCAGAGACATCTCCCAGGCTTATCTCTTCCACACCATTGCCTCTTAGGACTGAGCTCATCATTTGGAATGGATATTTGACTGATCCATGTGTTACTCTGTGTTTTTAAGTAAGTTTGCAGAGGTATGGGAGGGTAGAACATATACTTTCTGGCTTCTTCTTAGCTCTCAAGAGTTATTTATACATGCATGCAGACTCACATATTTACACATACAGTTTTATGTATGAATATGTCTTTACATATTGTATTTACATATGTACATGTATTATCTGTGTTATATGCAAAATTGCTGCTGTACTAAGGACTTTATAAGATAGCAACAGAATTTCCATTACCACCCTTGTTTTGCATTAAGAGAAGTGACATTTAGAGCGATAAGGAGCTTGCCAGCACCATTCAACCAAGCTAGTGGTGAGGCCAGGCTTGGGCTGTGACACTCTGGTCACAATCCTCATAACATCTCCGTCTGAAATCCATTCAGTTGTCTCCCATGCTGTGTACCCAGGAAATGTCACTTGGAGTAGTATTCCATTTATTGATGACATAGGGGGTGTGCAGGGAGAGGAGACATGCTAGGACTGGTGGCTGTGAAGAAAAAGGCAAGAACTAAGTTATGCCTTACCTGCCCTGAGATCCTGCTTAAGCAGACACTTGCCTGCTGTCTGGAAGATTGGGCCGTGATGTGGAAGAGACATAGCTGGAATGCACCCCTCACCAGGAAGCAGGCCTGGGTTAGAGGAATCTCCTCAGTTCATTGCTGTGGTTAATTCTGGCCAACTTTGGCCCCTGGGCCCCCTGAGCCTCCTCCGCAAACCCAGAAGAACTCTGGAGAGGTCAGAGCATTTTTATTCACCAATCCAAGTGAAATGCAGCAAAACACACTCCACATGCTTGACACGTGGAAATTCTCAGAGCCAGCGGTTGATAAATGTGCCAAACTTGAGGAGTAAACATCCCAGAGAAGGCAGAGCTGCATGCAAGCCTTCCTGGCTTCATCAGGTGGTTATATTAGCTTCAGAGCCTGGAGGCTAGCTCATAACTAATCCGTACAAGGTGTTGAGCCCTGTGCCTGGTAGACAGTGAGTAAGGTCTCAGTAGGTGCTAATAGGCACATTAGTACACTCGCTATTACTAGTCGGAAGGAACCGATCGGATAGTTATAACAACACTAGTAGCCAATGAGCTTACTCGCCTCATGGAAAACCATCCCACCACATTCTAAGGGCCTTCTAGTGTGCAATTGACTCTAGTTTTCAAAACTAGAATTTTGTTACATATTTCTTAAATGCTAGGTACATACATACACATATATACATGTACACATATATGTACACACACACACATATAATCTTAGTTATTGCTAGACTTTCTGAGAACTTAACTCCTAGATGGTTGTTAAGAACTGTGTGGAAAGGCTGACAAGACGGCTCAGCTTGCAAGCTTGGCAACCTGAGTTTGATTCCTGTGAGAACCCCTCCATGAGGTTGTCTTCTGCCCTCCATACATGTTACATGGCATGTATGCTAAAATACACGCCCCCCCCCACACACTCAGTACATTTGACAAAAGAACCTTGCTTAAGATAACCCAGTCCAAGCTCTCCATGTGATGTCCAAGTCTGTTTCTTCATCACTACTCTGGAACTTCTGGAACCTACATGATCCCCATGAACCCAGGTTCAGGCAGGATCTGCCCAGGGCACTGCCATTCTGCTCCTCCCCTTCTGGGCACAGCTGTACACATCTGTATTCCATGATGCCCACTGAGAAGAGGGCTTCTCTATCCCGTCTGTAATGCACCAGTAAACAAACATCCAGTGAGCCCTAGCATGGCTGTTCCTTTCTTAAGTCAGCACAGGGTTGCTCATAGCTGTGGCTTCTGACCCTTGCCCAGGACTTAACCGGTTTCATGGCTTTACTTCATGCTCACAATCCTGCGATTATTTTCACAGCCGCCCAGTGTAAAAGGAGCTGTGCTTTGCCAGCATTTGCAGAGAGGACTGAGAGAGCCAGCCTCAGGACTCAGCTCTGCTGTCAGCATCCCCGAACTTGTCCCATTACAGAGGGCTGCTTCCTCTCCACCATGGGCAGCTGATGACTTTGGCTCTGTGTGGCCCAGTGCCTGCAACTGTTCTGTTCCTGCCTTTAGTAGGAAGACCATGAGGTCAACACTGAGGACAGGTCTCTGTGTTCCAGATAACCTGGGCTTCCCCTTGGTTCTTCTTTTCTTGTTTATTTTTTTCTCACCAGCATATAGGCCAGGCATCCCAGATGTGGCAGGACCTGCCCTCTATCCTCAACTCCAGGTCTGAGGCAGGTGTCCCCCACAGGGCTTAAAATTTTGGGCACACGCCTGTGGTCCACAGGAACTGGCCTAGCCATTTGGTGGTGCTGAAGACCCGTGACTATCTCTGCCTTCTGTTAGGAGTGGGAGAAGCTCATGGTCTGACTAGCGGTGGGGAAGTCCAAGGGACAAACGGGGGCTCTAACCATAATCAGAACACCAGTGCTGTCGGTCTGCTCCTGGAACCAGGAGAGGTGGCAAAAAAAAAAAGGATCTTGGAGAGAGAGGGTGGACTGGGCGAGCAGAGGAGACAGTGGGTTAGTGCTAGTTTTCTGTGACAGGTTGGAGGATGTCTTCAGATGAAAGAAGGTGCCAAAGAGAAGAGGGAAACCAAGGTAGAAAAATCTTAGGAAGAAACGGATGAAAAAGCATGGAATGGGCTTCTCTATGAACACAATGGAATATTTGGAGCTGCCTTTTCCTTATGCTCAAGGGGTTGGGACCCTGGCCGTGCAGTGACCTCTCGGGGAAGCCAAGATAGACTGCTAGCTGGAACTTCCCCCCACACAGGGGAAGAGTTCAAGCTGTGGAAAGGCCCTGGCCTGAGGTGGGTTTGGACTGCTTACACTCTGACCAGCCAAACTGATAGCTCCTTGTGCTGTGTGAAAACACTGGCTTCCACATTGTGACTGCAGTGTTCACCGAGAGCACAGTTTGCCTTTGGGGGAGCAATGGTGCTGTGGTGGCAGGGAGGCTGTTTCTACCAGTAACTGTAGAACTTCTTTCCTGGAAATTGGGTGCCCTCAATGGGTCTCCATTAGAGATTCAGGTGACACGTTAGCCCTGTTAGCAGGCCAGGGAGCCAACGGCGTTTTTCAGATATCCCAAAGAGTCTGACAGTACTGGGGCATGGCTCTCTACAAGTGGCTTTACTGGTGTAGCCACTCAGAGGCACAGCTGCTCTGCCTAAAAGCTTCCAGAATGTCTCCCTCGCCAGCACTGTCTTCACATCCAGGACTTAGCAGCTCTGTGTGCCCCTAGGAGAAAGACCTTTAGAACCTATCTCTTCACAAGAGGGGCCTGGGACTTCTGAGGCCATGGAATAGGAACCCTGCAAAACCCACAGACACCGGCTAGTGGGAGGACTCCCTTTATCTGACAAAGCATCTCAGCACGGAATGTTCTGGTTAGTGTTTCTTGAACTTAAATCTTTATTCCAATTGCAGTAGCTGTGATAGGAAAGACCAGCCTATTTCATCACACTCTTACCCTAATCAAATGTTCTCATTCCAAAGCTCTCCTTGAATGAGGGTGGGGGTGGGGCAGGACAGTGATGGTTGCAGAGGAAATGCATGCAACATGTTCGTTTTTTAGCCAAAGGACACTTGGAATTAATTTTTAAAAGCCAGAGTAGGCGTTATCATCTTTGGAGGAGAGGTATGGCCAAAAATTTCTCTGTGTGATGTTTTCTAGGGACAAAATTGAGGCTTGAGGGAAGCAACCACAACAACAAAAAAAACAAGATGAAGGGGATGGTGACTACATCCTGCTCTGTGGAGGATTCTGCAGTCTCTCTGTTACCTTTGCTGCTCTTAAGACAGTGGTCATGAGTACATTCTGTCTGTTTCCTTTCCTATTTAGAGGAAAGGAAAGCAGCTGTGCCCACCTGACTTGGCCCCTCTCCCCTCCATCTTCCTGGGCTTATTTGTGTTAGTCTTACTATGTTTGTCTTTATCTGTTCTATAGCAACCCTCGTCTCTACAGGTCTTAATGGTCCCAGCTAGTTCTGGTCACTTGTGGAAAACGTCTCAGGAAGAATAAAAAGTTTTCAAAAGTTCACTTCTGACTGGTTACTGACTTTCTAGTTGGAAGCAGATGCTGGGGTACTAGGCCACTGACAGTTGCTGCTAGAGCTGTTTGTGGGTGGCAAGAAGTTTGGAAGCCTTACTGTTTTCTTGGGGTAGGGATGCCTTTCTACAGGAAGCCACAGGGGAATAATGGAGAGGCAGCCATCATTGTTAAGGTAATCTTAACATGAAATCAGATATGCCATGACAGGCCTCAGGAGATGATTTTGTTACAGCTCCTTCAGACTGCCCATCTGACAGTAAGCAGTCAGAAGGCCTTCGGAGAGGCCTCCACTTACCCACACGGGGAGTTCCCAGTATCCTCCGAAGACCAGCCTGTGTCTCTCAGAGATGGGAGGCCGCCTGTGTACACAGCAATCTGCTTTCTGACCAATCTCAACTACCCTCCCTCCTCAAGCTCCCCAAGTAAGGCAATCAAGGCTCATGGGTCCATGCTGTGCAGCAGATAATCCCAGGATTTGGTACACTTGGCTCTGGAATGTAGACCAGAGCCTGCAGGCCAACTTCCCTTGCTAATCATGCTGCACACAGGGTAGTATCTGAAACCAGTTAACCTGCCCTGGAGCAGTGCTGGCTGGGAATAAGGGTTACAAATGGGTGGGAGCCAGGAGAGGCTGGGGACCGTTCATTCTGCACTCTCCCAAAACTTGTGGGTGTTCTTACTGAGAAAAAGAACTCAAGTGCGGGCACACAGGATGCTTTGAAAATTTAATAAATAATGACTTTTAAAATTGTATAAACGATAAATTACCATGCAGTCCTTATAATTTAAAATAATTTACAGGCTGAGGTAGGGAGGGGCCCAGGAGGGTGTGGAGGGGGCAGGTGGGGAAGGGGCTGCAGGCAGGTCAACCTCTTCTTGCAGCCTTCCTGCTGAGCACACACACACAGGCTGTGTCTATCCGGATGAACCTCCAGGCAGCCTGCTTGTCGTCTGTCGTCAACGCTTTGACAAAGGTGTGGGTTGTGGTGCAGTATGAGTTCCAGTGCTTGGAGTCAATGCCCCGGCATCCACTCTCAACAGGATTGGGGGCTCGGCACTTGGTCTCAAAGAAGTACTGTTTGAATACACTGTTGTTAATGTTCACCTCTCCCAGCACTGTCACCTCCTTGCCTTTGATGTCCGTGGCTGTGGTCTTATCCCCAACCCACACACTGACACTGTCACACACTGAGAACTCCCCCATGTGGAAGACTGGGTGAGAGGATGAGCGCTTGCTCCTGTGAGTCCTGTTGAAGGAGATCGTACCATGGGCCTGGAAGTCTAGATCCAGAGTGTCCGAAGAGGTGGGTGGGGGCTGGGTGCTAAACAGCACACGGGGTGAACGGAGTCTCCGTTTCTTAAACAGTCTGGGGTCCACAGTGATGTTTCGGGTCTGCCCTGTCACACGGGCAGCTATTGATGCAGCAGGGGCGCTGCGGGCTCTGCGGAGGGCTGTGTCAAGGGAATGCTGAAGTTTAGTCCAGTGGGCTTGGGGAACGGAGTCTCCTTCTGGGACATTGCTATCTGTGTATGGTTCTGCCTGTACGCCGATCAAAAAAGCTGTGATCAGAGTGTAGAACAACATGGACATTACGCTATGCACCTGGAATGACAAAGACAGATAGGTTACTCGGGAGCAGTGCTAAGCACTGTCAGGACTTCATTGGGCTCCCTCGCAGGGGCCCTCCCAAGAGGGTGCCAGGAGGCTGCACTGGTGGACTAGGGGTGAGGAGATCCTGGATGCTAAAGTACAGCACTTGGGAGAGTGAGAAGGTATGCTGGCAGCAATCACACTGGCATGACTGGCATTAACCAGAGCATCCTGTGCGGTGGCTCTGTTCTGAGAAGCATCAGGGCCCTTGAAATTCTGCCTAGGAATTTGGGCTCTCCCTGACAGAGTCCTTTGGGCTCTCTGACTGCCAGCTTGGAGAATAGTGTTGCCTGCATCCTGAATGTGATTCCCTTGGGAAGGTTCTGGAAGCACTGCAGGGAACATGTACCGAAACCCCAGCATTACTCTCCCCCCCCCCTTGACACAGCAGCTCTGAACCAGAAGATTAAGAGTTCTTCCACAAAGTACCACACTTAACTGAAGATTCTGGGGGCCATTCTGGTTAGGAACCACCATCTTTCTTTCACATATAAGGAAGCCACCCACAGGGAATCAACTAACAAACAGGCTTAAAGTCACACCAGAAGGTAGACCAGAAGGAGGATCCAAAAGATCCCTTACCAAGCCAGTCTGCACGTCATCCATCCTCCCTCTGTTATCTCTTTCATTTTTAAAGCAAGTCCTCTCTTTTGATTGCTTGCTTGTGGGCTCACCCTGTGCAGCACTAGAGTCAGCTCTGCTTTGGGGACTAGTGTCCTTCCCATGCTGAGCACCAATTCACATCTGCAGATGCGGATCAAAGGCCACCTCCTATGTGAGGCTCCTCCAGTTCTTGGTGGACCCAGAGGAATCTCCTATACAATGATTTCAAAGCCCCCAATTCTATCCTTTCATCTTCCTGCACTGATGGGTCATTTTGCCTTCTCCTTTATGCTTTCAGCCTAGTTTGTATATTTCCTGCCCCTCGAATCTTTCTCTGATAACTCTAGCATAAATGTTTCGTCTGTCTGTCTGTCTGTCTGTCTGTCTGTCTCTGTCTCTCTATGTGGGTATGTGTGTGTCGCATGCATGTCTGTCTATTCTTTCCTGCTAAATCTATATAATGAGCAATGAGCCTTAGCTTTGGATCTGAGAAAACTTTGGATATCCAGTCCAAATACTTGTTAGTAGAAAAAAAAGCCATTTAATCTATTACATCTTGGTTTCCTCGTAGACAGTAAACTCTGTTTCCCAGGGTGAATGTTTGGGTTAAGTTGTGTTGATTCTGAGTTATTGCATCTCTCTCTTAAGACAAGGACTTTGTCTTTTTTAGTTCTATTTCTGGCTGCTCACTCTCTGAGCACCTTCCATGCCTGGGTTTCCACAACATATTGTTCTTCCTCTCTCAGACCTCTTTACAGTATGATTTGGTCTTGTCCACTTCCCAGCTGTGGGGTCTTAGAGGACAGAGCCGTGTCTAACCCACCTGGGTGGCAGGTTCCTCAATCACTATGTGAACATCTTTCTCTTCTCTCACGCCCTACTGTGTTACCTTCACCTGGTAACACTGGGTATTCATTCACATGTCTGTCTCCCTCCCTGGCAGTGCTTTAGAAGTCATGTGACTTCCATTTCAGTCACTACATGGCCATGTACTATGTCTGGAATGTTACAGCTTCTCAAGAAACATAGGAGGATGAAGACAATATTGCATGGAGGGTCAGAGAAGTCCACCCTCTCTTTGCTTTCCACTATAGACACGGTCCTTTTGAGGGTGCCCAAGGCTACACACTGCCTTCCAATCGGCATTCAGCCGGTGAATTCCACAAAATACTGTGCTTTTTGGTGGTATCCAAGAAGGAAACAACATCATTCTTTTCCCTTGGGTTCATTTGAAGAATGTTTTTGTCGCTCCACTTCTCTAGCCACCCGTGCAGAGGATGGGGTGCTATACCTGCGTTTTTGATTCCCCTATCCAATCTGATGGCCAAAGGTCTGGCTGTTAATTGTCCTGCCAATCTTAGAGGCTTGATCATTCTTTTGGCAGCTAATCCAGCCTTTTATGTTTGCTCCTTTTCTTGTCTCACTCCTTTCTTCTCGGTACACGTTATCTTTCATCAGGTGAGTTAAGGCAGAAGACACAGAACTGAAATCCATACTTTTATACGCAAATTGCTAACACCTGTTAGAACTGGATTGGGAACTGAGGAAAAGTTGACTGGAGTGTAGGGTTTCAACAGAAATAAAGCCTGCCTTGCTCCATGGTTCCCATGGTCTCCTCATGTGGCCTCTTCTGGGGAAGTTCATCTTCTGGGGATTGCTGATCCCCGTAACTACATCCCTTCCCTTGCCCAGATGCTCCCCCAGAGCACTCTCTGGACCCCCAACTTCCTGACAACACCTCTCCATAGATATTGGTAGTCTCAGTGCAAAAAATCACTGAACAAAGTCTTCATGCTCAATCCCACCATCACTCCTTCTTTGTCTTCTGTATCAATAGTAGCAGCCCAATGTTGGACCACTTGGTGCCTTCCAAAATAGTTCCACAGTCACTCTCTCTATTGCTCCTGTTTCTCATTCTCCTAAATGGCATCTTCACATTTTGCTTTCCTAAATACTAGGACCATTTTGCCTTCATTTGCCAGCTACAAACCTCGGTTCACTCTGCACTCTGCTCCTAGCCCTTCACCCTGTCTTCTGAGTGGTCTTTTGAGTTCTGCAGAGTAGCATTCCTTGAAGCTGCAACTTCCTTTCCTGTCTCACTTCTGTGTCCCTGGTTCAGGGTGTGGGACCTCCTACCTGATGTTCTGGACCTTCATCTCTCTTATTCCAGTGCCATCTCCCCTGACTTCCCCATTAAGCTTCATAATGTATTGCTCTGACCTCATGTTCTTGATCAAAGCAGCCAATGGTGAGCCCTTGTTTATGGATCTGAATGGATGGCTGAGCCTGGCAACATCCCACCTCCTTCAGTTACATCACATTTCTTCATTCTAGGCACAAGAGCTCCTGGCCTAGCTCCCGCCATGTGCTAAGCCACCCTTGCCCTTGCTTTGAACTCTTCCCTCCACATATGCTCCTTCTGTACCCATTGGCCCCTTTATGCCCTCCATATCTTCTGTCAGAATCCATCCTATTGTCTCCCAATATCCAACTTCAAAGGCATCGCTCTAATATACCTGACTCTAGGCAGAGAACCCTGTACACTGTCTTATGGCAGATGTGTTCTTTTATCCTCTCTGCTGGGGGTGTTGATCCTCATAGATAGAAAACTGTCTGCTCATTGCTCTTGCCTGTGGCATCTCCACCTCCAGAAACCACCAGGTGTGGAGATGCCTCTTTCCTTCTGAGTTCCTTGACTTCTCCATCTGAGTGTTGACATTTAAGGTGTCTATAA